AAGGAGACAATTATTTGAAGTTCAAGATACAACTGTGGTAACCCACAGGGTACTGTAAGTGAATTATTCACTGATACTATTATGATAAAAGTAGAGAAATATAGTTCATATTGTCAATTGGGTTCTAAAGTTATTGGATCAACCAAAGTGGACTTTTGACAAGAAAAGTGAATTATTTAGAGTTTGAGATACAACTGTGATATCCATTCTGTAAGGAATTTTTGTACATAGTTTGACTTTTAAATGAAATTAATAAAATGACTTGTTTTAAATATATTACTTTAAAACACATGGAGTTTGGGCTGTCCATTTATTGTCAAATTTATTGCCAATAATTCACAGACACTTACTGTAGAAGAATCCTTATTCCAATCATATTTAAAACTCTGACAATGCTCATATTTTAGTTTAGTATTTAAATAATAATAAAAAAAATTTCATTAATTCAAAAAAAATTATACTTTTGTATTGCAAAATAATTACAGCATAGTTATTGTTTTAGTAAAGACTTAAATTGGCTTTATTTGAAATTTTTATAGATTGCTAATTTCAGAGTTATTGTTTTTTCATTATAACTAAGGAATTTCAGTTGAAAGACTCGGTCAAGTAATGGAAGTAACATTTCTAAAATACATATCTATTTCCTTGTTCATATCTTCACTTATTATTTTACTGTAATTGTACTTCTTTCTTTGAAGTAACAATGTATATGTATATAGAATTACTTTAACCCTAGATTGACGATGATCTGACAGCACGTATTAACATGGCTGATGCAAAGTTCTCTTTCCAAGAAAAAGGAAAAATGTATAGTCCAGCATGGATGGCTCCAGAAGGTTGGTTTATTAGGTTTTAGATGTTAAACATATGATTAGGTTCATTAAGTTGTAACTCTGGTTTATATTTTTAAGGTTTAGTACTTTGTGTAATAAACTTTTACATGGTGGAGTTAATCACACTTTATGAAAATAATTTGCTTATGCTAGTGCAGTGGTGAATTGCTGCAGGTGCGAGTTGTAACATGTGTAGCATCTATACATATTTGGTTCATTGTGAATTACTGACCATTGAACAGTGAAATGCCACCAGAAAGAAACATTCATATCAAGATTGTGAAACTAAGTAGAACCAAAAGACTTTTGAAGAAGGGAGTCTTCAACATTCTCCATGGAAGCAGACAAACTCTCATAACAGAGTATTTAAGACTGGAATGGACTCCAAAACCACACCTTGTGCCAACTCACCACAATACCCTCATCCATAAAGTGAAAGATAGAGTTTACTGCAATAAAGTTTGGAATATCTATTTTACCATTAAGAAGATAATAAACAAGTATTTGAAAATGATAAAGGCCCACAGACCAAACGTTCTCAGATTTCCAGCTGTTTCCAAAAGAAAGATGGCTGAAGAAACTAGGATCACACCAATCTTATTCATGTTCCCCAGTTCCGCTCCAATGGACTTTGTGACTTTGGTCTCCTTAAATGAAGCATCCACATTATGTAGAGGGGCTATGAAAACTTTGTCAAGATCTGTGATATAAGATTGACTTTACCATCCTATGCATGAGCTTATTATAATGAAAATTGTGGTTTCAAACAATGATGCATAATCATGTCTATCAGATTTAGCATGACTGACAGTGGAGGAAGTAGTTCAAAGAGCTTGGAATTGAAAAACAATTATTGTAATATTCAATTAACATTCGGTATATTTGTATAGAATTTCACTAATCTCTGACATAGATATAATTATTTCAGTGAATACAGGAGAGTTTTTGACAGTGTTACCTCTTTTTGAATTGAAAGTGTTTTTCAATATGTCAGTGAGTCCATTTTGTTCAGTATTCTTCCTCCTAAAGTTTAAAACAAAATCTCTTTATAACTGTTTTCAAAAAGTGTGTGCATAATTAATTCCACAAAATGTAAAAGGTATTTCATAGCTATAAATTTTGATAAGTAATGTTACAAACTTGGTATTTATTGTTAAGTTTATGTGACTTACGTGAAATATATTACTAACAAAGGTATTCCTCAAAGGGAAGACTTGCCAGGCATTCCCCAGAAAGGCACATTATCATTGTTACTCCTTACAGTTGTATTTGTATTTTGTACAAAAAAAACTGCAAAAATATGATTGAGTGAAACAGCTTTGATTAATTATTTAAATTATATAGTTTTAATTTGTAGTTGTTCTAAAAGTGACTGTTCACTAAACGAATAAAATATTTTGCAGTGTATTAATATTGAACATATAAACTTTTACTACTTCATTCACTATTACATAAAAAGTGATAATTTCTAAATGTTTTCACACCAAAATACAGAAAGATTGTTTGATACTTTTAAATATGAATCATTTTATTCATCATATGGCACAAAGAAAAGCATTTGTTTTTGTCATTTCTGAATTTGCTAATTTAGAATTGAATATGTACTTTTTTGCCTACAGTCCTTACAATGCTACCAGTTCAACAAAAGAAAATATAGCAAATATAGTTTAATGTAGATAGATTTTATAATGTGGAACAGGCAAGAAATGTAGTGTTATTAAATTTCAAATTCATCCATAAAAAGCTTCTTTGAGTCATCAAACATTTCAATGTCCTGTAATGAGTGTTCTGATATATAAAAAAAACCCTTGTAAGTTCTGGCCTACATTTGAGTTTAATGCTTTTATTGAATGGATTTTTAAGTGCATCTAACAAGCCAGGGAATTAATGTATGTAGTAAAAGGACCACTTATAATTTTTAATAAAATATTTCAGAATGAAAAACTGGCTTTAATGAATGAGAATCATAGTTTTTGACTCAACTTTGTCACAAAAAAATGTAGACAAAAAGCACTTCATTGGTATCTGAAAAAAAGAAATGTTTGTAGATTGTTGAACATACAATTCAGGCTATATTACAATTCCAAATTTTTTATCTAGGAGTTTGAAATTACCATAATACTCAAAACTGTTAAGGGGCAATATTTGCATTATCTTAACAGTGACAAGGGAAAATCACATACAAAATAATATCAGTTACCTTCCTCATTTAACTTTTTGTGTAAATTGGGCATTTAATGATTAGTGATGTAATGTGAAATGCAAATGATTGTTAATTTTGTCTATGCTTATAAATGGACATTTGAAAAGATTGGTTTTACACCTTTGCAGTTTGACATTTCACTTCAATATGGAATATGGTCACCATAAACATCAAGGGCAGCCCGGCACTGACGTTTCATCCTTGAATCACATTATTGATAAAGTCCTGAGTTGTCATTGACCACTTAAATTGAAAAGATAATCTGTGACTTAGTGGCCTAATGCATTACTTGATTGGCCATACCTTCTGCTGTGGACTGCAGTTTTACCTTGTTAGGAAACTTAAAGTTTCAGCAATCTATTGTATTACTCAAATTATTTTACAGATGTAAAACTAATGTCTCAAATTAATCACTGCTCAAACAAAAAAAAGATTCAAAATTTTGTAAGAACTTTCATAAAAAATTGTATATATTAATACTTTCAAAATGAAAAGTTAATTAAAATTATTTTAAAAATAGAGTGTATAATGTGTTCCGAGACACATTTAATTAATTTTTAGGTTTTGTATTTCAATAGTATAATAATATTTTGGTTTCATGAGATAGTAAATACAGTCCAAAAGCATAGATCTGTTTAAATTTGGTCTCAACACTAAACTAATATATATGATAATATTTTATAAATATAGTTATTGTGATTTTGGTGGGGCAAAAACATTGTTGTACAGCAAAATACAGTGGTGTTTGCATGCATTTAGCAATATTCCAACTTTAATTCTCATAAAGTGTTTTTTATATATATATATATATTGCATAGCTCTTCAGAAGAAACAAGAAGATATTAACGTGAAAGCTGCTGACATGTGGAGTTATGCTATCTTACTGTGGGAGATGTTTACTCGAGAGGTACCATTTTCTGACCAGTCTCCTATGGAAATAGGAATGAAGGTTAGTTTTCAAGTGCACATGTGTGTGTGTCTATATATATACAGACATGTATATATATCCTATTACACTTATCTTAATATCAAACTTATTTCACTGGGACAACTCAAAAATGTCTCTAATTTAGCTTTTAATATACAAGTTCAAGTAGTACATGGGGGGTTAAAAAAAGAGAATTTTGTAAGGTTATAATATGCTTCTCTGTTTCTATAATAGCTATGATAGGTGTTTAATCTGGTTAAAATAAAGATTTATGAAGACTGTCAGTTAAGACATTACATTTAAAATAAATGTTTCTTGTAGCAGGAGAAATTTTATAAGTTTCTTTTTTTTTTTTTTCTTCTCTCTCTCTGTAATAGTCAGGATAGTCCCAAATACTTTTTTACTGGCTTTTAATTATTTTCTTTTTTAAGTTTCAATAATTTATCATAAAATTGATTTAAAATACTTGTATATTATTAGAACTGTGGTAGAGTATTATAAATGTTCAGATTTGGAAAATTATATCAATAAAACTAATTTTTCCTTACTTTGAGACATTTTACATATGTATGTACAACTTTTTAGTAAGATAGTGTTAAATATTTACTCTTTCAGATTATGCATATGAATTCCCTGCTATTTTAGCCATGCATTGCTTCCTACTTAAAATAAATTACCCAGTAACATTTTTACATAAAATGTTAAGTAAAAGCTGTTTTAACATTATAATAGTTTAAAAAATACAAGGCCAATACTAGATATTCTTCTTCATCAAAGCACTTCTGCTATTTGTGCTTTTTTGCTACTTTGTTGACAGATAGTTATGGTTTTCTTTTAGGCCCCTATTGCAAATAATAACTTGTGATATTAATGTTTTGTACTTTTCTTGCATAGATACCAATGCAAGGCCTGGACATTAGGGTGCTCAACTCACAAGATTGAAACCTGTCATAAACATGCTTGTTCTTTCAGTCATGGGGGGGTCCTTTGAATGTTATTGTAACTGTCAATCCTAATGTTCATTAGCATAAAAAGTAGCTTAAGAGTTGGGAGTGGGTGGTGTTGCTAAGCTACCTTCTTTTTACTGTATCACTTCAATATTAGGGATGACTAGGTTAGATAGGTAGCTCTAGAGTAGCTTTGTGGGAAATTCAACAAGGCAAACAATAGTTATGTACTGTTCGATCCATGCATTATTTTTAAATTGGCACAAAAAATATTTGTAGAAAATGTTTCTTGACTTGTGTCATATATCTGTGTGTATGTATGTCCTTTACATTAACTGTGTGAGTGTTATTTTAACTTGTGTTTAAGTAAATTGTTTAGTCATGAATTACCAATAATTAAATATATTTTTTAAACTAATTATATCCCATTTATCAATCAATACAAAACACGATCACAAGTCTTTTTGTGAATGCCTTCAACTTTTGATTTGTGTATATTTATTTTTATTTTTTGTAAGGTGAAAAGATTGACATTTCAGTTTTTGTGTTCAATTTGACAATAATATATATATACATATTTGACTTTCAACTATATAAATGTATGTATGTTTAATACTAAAAGTATCATAATATTTCAACCAACTACTTTTGTTTGTTTTTTGTCTTCTTCTAGGTTGCTCTAGAAGGATTGCGGATTAGTATACCACCAGGCATTTCTCAACACATGGCTCGCTTGATACGTATTTGTATGAATGAAGACCCTGGAAAACGTCCAACCTTTGATATGGTGCTTCCAATTTTAGAGAAGATGAAGCAGTAAAAAGATGTGTGTAACTGAAACTTTAGTGCAGCTACAACAAAACTTCGAAATTTTTGTCACTTCCATTTAATAACAAAAATAATCCTTTCATTAAATTATATTTTCTACAAACCATAATATACTCTTGATGTATCTTTGGCTTCAAATTGACAAGATTATTATTTACACTTTATATTTTAACCATGATTTGTCTTTGTATGGTATGGCTTTCTAGTTTAGATTAATTTGTCATTGAGTGTTAAGAACGAATTTAGTAAATTTCAGAGGAAGCATGATTTTTACCTGTAACTCAACTCTTTAGAAAGATTACAAGGGTGTAAGGTGAAAGTGTTAATTTCGAATCACTTAAGTTTGAATTTATAAAAACTGATACACTGGCTTTAAAAGCTAATGTTGTACAATCGAGCTTATTAACAAGTTGTTTACATTTAAGGTTGTTTCTGTTTAAAAAAACATAATAAATTTTATTGTATCTTATCATAACCTTAACAACTGTCATTTAAAAAAGAAAGGGAGGGAGGATTGGGTATTGGTGTACGTGTTTAACAAATTAGTACAGATATATTTGTTACGTATATTAATTTTTCATTACTGAAAAACTGACCAGACACTATACTGTTTTTTTCCAGAAAGAAAAGTTATCTATAAGAAAAATTTAGTTTTCAGTCCAGTTAATGAATTTTTATTTTCTAGGGTACTTTAGTGCAATAGATTTACTTAACCCTAAGATTTATGGGTAACAACTATACATAAATGGAATGTACTGGCTGGGTCCAAGAGACCCCTCCTATGCATCCTAGGGATAAAAACTAGAAAATTGTGTCAAACTATTAAAAGACATTTCTGCAAACACATGTAATTGTATATCAAGAGGGTTATTTTAACATCAAAGTAATGTGCTCAGTTGTTCCATATAAATAAAGCAAAAAATTCATTAATAGATTTATTGTATTCAGATCTGAAATTATTAGGTTTTGTTTTCATTTATTGAATACTGTTGTAACTCATATGAGGGTTAGTAAATGCTACTTAATGTCAGATTGTTATGAAAAACATTCACTGTAAAAATGTTGCTTGAAACCATGATTTTTAAAAAATTTTTAAACAGTCAAAAGTTGTTTTACTCCAAATAATTTCACATATATGAAAAATTCATTGAATTAATTTGTATCTTCATTATCTTTTATAAAAAAAAAAATCAACACTTGAGTTACAAGTTTTGTTCTCATTAAAGTGGCAGCTTTAGTTTATTACACTTTATGCAAAATAATGGTGTTGATATTTTGACTGTATATCAAGACTAGTCTGTTTATTATGTTGTTGTTTTTATTTATAAATGCAGTAAAAAAAATGTTTCATCACCATACAGAATTTAAAAAACAATTTATATTTTATCCAAAAAATGATCTTTTGAAACTTGAGACATGGTATACTTTTGTAACTTAATGTGGATACTGTATTATTACAATATCCTATTTTCAAAGGAACTTTTGTATAGTTTAAAAAACTGTGGTTAATGACGTGTTTTCACAGGGAACCGATATTACTAGCTGTGAATGTATTTTTTTTTAAAAACTGTGCAGGGTTTTTGTCTGTATTTACAAAATATGTTTTAAGTTTAAAATAAAGTTTTACTTGTATAATATATGCAGAATAGTATTCAATTTGAAATATGATTATTACCAACCTTTGAATTACTACAGGAATAAACAGGTTTGTTCCAAACTGATTTTTTCATGTGGAAGTATCAAGTAAAAGGTTTGAGTTCAAAAATAAATTCATTAGTAGTAATGACGTACAAAATCAACACTGACATACGTAAAATCAATGTTATTCTAAATTTATTGGTATTCACATAAAAATAAGTTTCCATCAAACATTTGTACAAACATGTGCTCAATTTTAATATACAGGTACCATTATGTAATCCTACAACCAAAATCAATCCTTACTCTTCTTACACTAGATTCTCCAAGACAGATACACCTATGTGCAACACAAACTGCCAGTAACTAATTCTATTTAATAAAATTTTCCAAGTCATACACTCAGCCATAGCTATAATATAACTGAGTGAATCTAGGAAAATGTTCTTAAGTATAATTGGTTCCTGCCCATTTAAGTAACTTTATGCCACAACAGTTGCTTCTATGTGATTGGTTGTTGATATTTATAAGCTGCCCTAACTTTCCATACCAATATAAGGATAGGAGTTCAAATCTTTCTCTGAGATAATGAGACTTAATTAAGGCGACAGGATAAAATTAACTACAGATACAGTTGCAGCATTTAAAATTTTTATGTAGCATTGAACTTTTATGAATTAATAAGTACATTTTCTAAAAGAAAATGCTGAAGATTTAAAATTTTAAAGCTATATATTCTTTCTTTGCACCATCTATAATCATCAGTAAAATTAAATAACACAATCTTTCATGTTTATCTTTGAGGGAGTTCTGTATGTGAATTAACTGTTATATCTCTTACCCAAATTTATTTCAAATGACCATTTTTAAACTTCGATGAAAGACTGAAAACAGTTCATTTATAGCTTTTCACCTAAAGTAACACCATTATACTTAAGCGATTGTCTGTGTATTAATGTAAGTTACTAAATCACTATGGTTACAGAAATACTATCAGCTCCAAGCTTCACATGTAAAATTGACCCCCCCCCCCAATATATTTTTTTTCTTTGTCAAAATGAAAACTTCAGTACAACAAATTTTCTTTTAGAACTACAACTTAGTTATTAACATAAACTGATTTCTTTAAAAGCTAGTTTTCACTTTTTTTGAGATCCAGAATATCACTTGAACAAATAAACATTCATTTATAGCTACAAAAGCTGTTCTTTGTCATAGTAAAAGTTTGGGTTACCTTTTCACAACAAAACATGTAAAGCAAAATACTACTGAGCTTCAATTAATTGTTTGAAATAGATTATATGTAAACACTGGATGTATGTATTCAAACTAATACACTGGTCTATTACTGTCTGAAATAATATGTAGCTTGTATTCTACATCTGTTTCAAACCAAAATGAATTGAGGAGTATAAAAAATTTATAGGGTAAAGCTTTCTACAATTCAAAAACAGATTTTTCAAATAGATTTAATATACTGGTATTCTAACCCTTTTCAATTAAAAACAAAACAAAAAAACTTGGGTTTGCAATGTTTCCTTCACTATTTTGTGCTTTCCAGTACACATTCTTATCTTAAAGTAATTTGTTCATTTATACTGTTATCCTATTGAAAAGAAAAAAGTTTACACTTCCGAGATATCAAGAACAGAGGAATACAATTACAAAATTATGTTTAAGGAACTGACAGAGTTGAATTGTTATGAATGATATTAAATAAAAATTTATAGATATAGGTTATAAAAATAATCATAAATGCAAAAACAAACTGGGATATATTTTAAAAGTAATGAAATATATGTGTAACAAAGAATAGAAAGTATTTTTGAAACAATTTCACACAGAAGTTTTTAACTCCAACACTGACAGGCAAAAAAAGTTGGAAGTACCTACTGCCTGATCTTAAATTTTGATTTACTTGCACTGTATCTGAACATTTTTAGTGAAACTAAAATGCATTTTTATAAAATTTTACACTATTTCAACTACTCTGTTCTTCCAAAATGTACAAAATATTTTAGAATACACCTGTTAAATGGTTTCATGTACAATTACAACTTTATAGAAAAAAAAAAATAAAAAAATCCATTCGTACACCTAATATTAGATATTTCATACTTTTTTACAATTGAATAATAAAAACAAAAATCAGCAAGATTTTAGTATTAGATTGAAACCTCAGCCGAAATAATTTTAGCAAACTATAAACTGGAAACAATCTATAAAAATAACTTTTCTTTGGAACACTGTAGCCTTTTACATACAAATATATTTAGGTATAAGCACCACATACTGGAAACCGTTAAAAACAAAATAATGTTCCCACTCTTATATCTATTTTTGAGACATCTTAGTATCAATTTACATTATTCTAATTATGATTACTTTAATAACTGGCTATTAGAATTCATTATATATTTGCATAATTCTATTACTAATTTTTTAAATTACAAAATTGTGGAAAGAAATATTTCAGTTTTATGTATCAAAATGATTTCATGTAATATACATCAACAAAATGTGAAAGCTATGAGCATATTTACAGTCATTGAGTTTCATAGCTTCAAGCTATTTATGGCCGAAGGGTAATTTAGAAAATCCTTACTTTGAAGGCAACAATGTAAATTTGTAATCAACACTTCATTTTTTTTATGTGCTAGATATCTTCTATAACACTGTTTAAAAACAAACAAGATATTTTTGGTCATAAATAAATGAGCTTCATAAAGTCTCACAGCAGTTACAGTGCAACTTACATATTAGTTTTTTTAGTTCACATTTTCTTTTCTGTTGTGCATAATTTTGAATACATAAACCCATGACACACAAGAATTAGAAAATCTGTAATTCATGTCAATCATCTATTTCAATCCAAAAATACAAAACCTATATAAAAATGAACATTTATTAGTTTTGCATGATTGACACTTACTCATCCTGGATGTTAGTTGCAGAAACATAATTCATGTTCAGTAATTACCCTCCATTCTAACATTGGGAACTTCAATAAACTGCATATTTGATCATTATATTATAACCAGGTGCATTTCTTCATTATTTACACTGGCATGTAATTCATAATCTTATACTCTTACCACAAATTTGGAAAAACTGCAAAGAAACTATTTTGTGATTATTCTTTCATGCTAAAAAAACACATTTTTGAACCGTATATATACACACACACAAGTATATTTTACGAAAAAATTCCTTTAGAAAATTCTATTTAAAAACTAAATTATGTTTGACTTCTAACAGCCACTTGAAAATATCATCCAGTTTTAAAAGTTGCATACGTCTAACATTTCCATCCAGCACTGTAAAATCAGAAAACTGCTAGAGTAAAACAACCTAGCTAGCACTTGAGCAATTAGAACTATCAAAGGCAAAAAGAAAAAAAGTATTCTAGGATAATTATCCTGCACTGGGTTAAATTTCTATGTTTCATTAGAAACAGTTTGTTTTACATTTTAAAACTTATTTGTTGTTTTATTTCATTTTTGTATGTTTATGTTTGTAAAAAGAAACAATTTTTAAAATATTATAATTAATCTTCAGGAAAGACCTCTCTGAATTCTAAAGGAATCTTTTGATAACTGATTCACTCACATAGTCAGTATTCATTTTAAATGCAAAAATGTAATTCATCTACAGCTAGAGACAGACACCTGCATTTACTATAAACACCTCTTAACTTTTTATACACTATGCATATTGTGGCTCTGAGGTTTGCTAAAATTACAGTAGGAATTTATGAACACATTTCAAGACCAATTATGACCAAAACATGCAACATTTCTCCAAAAATGTAAACATTTAAACAGGATTACTATCAAAGGTGACTCTCAAGATGTTATACTTTTCAGAACAGTATATACATATTAATGGATCATTAAATGCTAATTTACCTCAAAGAACACACCTTAGGACTCATTAAAACATACATTTTAAATCTAACTAACCCTCTTGGCAACATTTCATTACAAAACTCATATCCACTTAAAAAATATTAAGATATTTTGATAAAAGAATCCCGGGCAAAGACTTGTGCTTAGGTTAATAAAATATTTAAATTATGATCAGCAGTCACGTGCCAAATTCCAGATTTTTCAACTACCTATGTAATCTTACAGTACACTTATGTTATTTAGTGTTTTAACAAAGGTGTTATCCATACTGTAAGCATGTGTCAAATACACAGCACTGACAAGAATCTTTTTGGTTGCTTGTACCACATAGTCCATATGCACCCATAAATGTTAGTCTTAATATGGATGCTAGTTCTGAGATCAAGTACCATTTACGTCTTAACAGCTATGTTTTAGAACCATAAAATTCAAGTTTACAATAACACAAACACACTCTACATACAGTACATGAAAGTCACTATGCACTCAGGAGTACAAGTCATACAACTGCACTCAAAACTGCAGAATCTTATACAACATGGCAGTTACAGTGTATTCACAACCACAAATTGCAGTAAAAGAAAAAAACATATATCCTGGTAAATGTCATCCATACTCCATTCAAATACCTATAATCAAAATATAGAAACTTTGCTGCACTAAGACTACAGATCCTGGAATAATTCAAAAAGAAACAGATCCAGTATATTGTTCTCACTAAGAACACAATATTTAACTTTAACCCCAGGGTGCAAAAATGGAATCTATGCAAACCCTAGTGTTGATTAGAGCTAGGCAATTACTGAAATTTCTAACTGATTAATCATTAGGCTCATTAATCAAGTACATTCAACTAATCCATTATTTTCCTGGAATGGCTGAAAAAAAAACTTGTAAGATTAAAAAACTGTTTTTGAATATCCACAGTTGGTGAGGCACAGATAACCAATTGTGTAGCTTGTGCTTAACAACAAATGTAATGGAAATATATCTATTACTTGGATACTTGGAATGATTGAAAAAGTAATGATCATAAACCCAATTTCAATTAGTTGATTATTTTTGTGAGTCATTACACTAATCAATTAAGCTGAACAAATCTGACTTGATCAAAAACAATGATGAAAAATCCTAATGGCAGTATTTCAACTACTGGGTATTTGAAATAATCAAAAATAGTAATAACCAGGAATCACTAGTTGATTATCTCAAGAGACATAATTGATGATCATACGTATATTGCCTAGTTCTTACTCTTGATGCATTTAAAATTTTTTTTAGAGCTATTGCTAGGGTAAATACTGGATTTCTTAACAATATACTTAGTTATCTTTCAGCCTAAAAAGAAATAGGCAGATACTCAGTGTGTAATGGAGCATTCACATGCATGCATCTTGAGTGGGATGCGTGTTTATATCCCTATTTTGTATATAAGGTTAATATTCTACACTCGGAGCCACAGATTCTAAAATAACATGGTACTTGTAATGCAGAACTATGCATCTATTACAACACAGCCCATCCTGTAAAACAGCCCCAAAGCAGAGCTGACACTCAAGCGTAAAAACAGTAAGTATTATTTTATTTCCACGTCAGAATAGCATAAAATCTGTGTATGCTACATGACATAATAGTCTTCAAAGTATGACCAAAAACACACTTTAAATGAAATTTTATACACAGTTTGGTGCTCTCAGTTGTTCTTTCAACCATTTACCAAATATATGTATTAAACCATACATTTTTACAACCTGTTACTCCACAAAATAAGTTGTTTCTACTTATATATATATATATATGTACACTTCATGACATTAAAAATAAAACTTCACAGACATGTAAAAACTTCTGAACATATGATATTAAGCTTTTTTTCCCCACCACTGGCTTGAGATATAACAAAATATTTATTTTTAAAAGAGTATTCTATACATGTATACTACAGCAAAATCATTAACCTTATTCATGGCCTTTCCATGTACAAGAAATCTTGCTGCTAGGCAGTGGTAAATAAATCAATTCATTTCCTCAACTTTCTGAACCTTCATATACCAAACAAACTTCCATGACAATATCAGAACAACTTAACAACATATAGAGAGTACACCCAAAAATCGAACTGGAGCAAATAAAAAAATAAAAAAAATAAATTTGTACACCTCTCACTATTTGTAATATTACGGTGAAATTTAAATCTGTACGAAGCTATCACCTGTTGATACAGGTATTTAATTATTACTTTCTCTAATTTATAATGAATATCAACCAGGGTTGTTTTTTTATTTTTTAAAAAATAAAATATTAATATAATACTCATATATTTTGCAAAAGCCTTTAATTGTTTTCTAAATTTAATCTAATTTCTGATTTGTTATATATGATGATATTGGCTGTAATGTCATTTTTGACAAAGGTAAATGGAACTAAAATCAGTCTTAATTTACACCTTAGATAACTGCACCTACAAAGAAGTTAGTTAAAAAAAACAAAGTTAAATAATGGAACTAAACATGTTGTTTCCACTATGTAAACTTTTATCATAAAAAAATTATTATTATTACTTGATAGAGTACTTCATGTTAACAGTGTTATAGCAAATTTTATGAACAATAAAGTAGTAAATTTCAATTAAAAAATTCAGTGATATTACATAACTGGAATAGTTACTAACACAGAATGATAAAAGGAATTATTTGATACTAAACTCAAGCTTTTACTACCATCTTTTCACAATTATAATCACAATTTATTCTGTAAGAAAAAAGATATGACATCGAGAGCAAAAACAAATTAGAGGTTTGTAAAACTATTAATTGACACTGTTTAAAACTAATGACTAGTCACTGAATCTGGCACAGATCTCGAATAGCAAACTTCTGTGCTAAAATGTATTCAAGCACGTATATCTTCCTACTATATGTAACAATAAAATGTATTACCAATTCTATCTTATGCTGTGACTATAAATTTCATACAACATATCTCCTTCAGAAATTGATTTCATCTACAAATGTGGTTTACATAATATTTGGCATAGGTAATTGTTTTAACACTAAATCAACACTTCATTGAGAAGTGAGTAAGTTTCTAGTATTCATTCTGTTGCTTTGTCATTTAAATTAAGAATTTGATATTAAAAAGTGGCTGAAAGATAAATGCTTATAAGTGTATTAAATAAATATAAAAATAATAATCCAAATGTTCTTTTTTTCTTGTTTATATCATGCTTCCATTTTACACTAGTTTACAATTGAAAATTTTTTTGATGAATCTTATTAAATATTTGGTCTAACACTAATACTTCTTACTGTAGTACAGTTTTTGTCCAACCATTCATTTAAGATTCTTTTGGTGTGTATAATGTTCTTATCTGTTACACTACCTTTTGAATCATAATTGCTTTTGTGCAAACACCATTAAAACTGAATGGCAAATACATTTATCTGCCCACCTTGCAAAATCAAAAATTACTGGGTTAACAACAGTATAAGAATATCATTCCAATTTACCTATTAATGACTAATATTTTAAGGACTATCAATAGTACACTGAGTACTATCAATTTCTTCAATCCCTGAGTTAATATTCAACATGCAGATGACAAAAGGCAAATTTAATTTACATTAACAACAAATGATAGAATATAAATAATTTCAAAAAGCCTTCTTTGAACATATGCTCTTATTATTATTGGTGTATTATATGTTATGTTCTAAATGAAACCTGCTTATTGCATCAGATGTTACAGCAAATGACAAAGTGTAAAAACTGAAGTTTCAAGACTTGAAAAATACATGTATACCTAATAGATAAAACATCTGCAAGTACTACTTACTCATTTAAGAATGTAGATATTGAGAAAGTAGAACCCTTCTGGATCTATGTATTCTAAACTGTTAAATACTATTTCTTCCCACAGCTAGATTTTGACTGGACAAAATGAGACTTGGGTAGTGCACCAAAATTCCCATGTATAACCAACTCTTTCTCGAGTCCAAGGCCTTTAAGTCTGAATATTCACACTTCCACAAAGAAGATTTGGTTGTAAGTGAGCACAAAATATATAAACGACTTAGAGTTTTTCTATATTGGCCACATATTTCATTTCTCTGGTCCCAGACTGGTATACTGTATGTAATAAATTTTTTCTCTTTCATGCTTACAAAGGCTACGTGGGAGCATGAGGCTTCTGAGCAGTAGTTGCAACCAATAATTCATTGAAGGATGATTCAAAACACTGTTTCAGTTCAGCATAACTGACTACTAGGACATTCTGTTCATCACAAGATGTGAGACATATCTTTTCAAGGGAGCCAAGATCCAACTGTAGTGGGAATAGTTTAAGTAACAAATAAATTTTATGAAAAACAGCTTTAATCATCCTTACAGTCTTATACAATTACAGACTTTGATGTAAAATTTTCTGTCATCTGTTTTTGAAGATGAAATTTAAAGGTGTATCTTAAGTTTTAATGGACAGCTAATTTCAATTTTTTTAACCTTGTTATAATACATTTCACTAACAAGTACAAGTGAATTCTGTCTTAGAAAGTCATCTCGAATAGCCAATTATGGCATTCTAGGTCAATGTGTATTTATGAATGTATGTATATCTATGTACTTTTTGCATCTAGCTTTTTTTTTTTATGGTATGGTGTATTAAACATACCCAAAATTAATAGCATAAAACTTTACTCAAGTGAGTGAACTTTTTTTGACACTGAAACTTATCCAGTATCTACATTATAAGAACCTGATTCAACCAATTTACAATAATTACTGACAATCTACATATTGTACTATCAAAAAGTGTTTACATCTAAGTGAAGATGAACAACACAAGTGAAACTTTAAATTAGTTTATGCATGAACTTTAAGTCACTTGAAATATTAACTATGAAGCAACTTGAAGATTTATTGAGAATGCATTATCAGACAGTTTAACATGCTATCTATATATTTAAAACAAAACTAAAAACAGATTGAAAGCATCTACAACTCACATTATAAAGTATACAGAGTTACGTACTTAAAATCACAATTGAAAAAGTTCATATTTGAAGAGTTTATGCATTTACACATAATCACAATTTAGCAAATGTTTATGAAAGCAAAATCTTCATAAAAGAGTTAGCACAAAGGATCACATATATATTGTAATAAACTTAAAATAAAACCCAAAACTCCGAGCTCTTTCAAATAGTTGACTATTCTTCTTCAGGAGAACAAAGAAGAATAGTCAACTATTCAAAAGCTCTCAAGTTTTGGGTCTTATTTTAAGTTTATGAAAGCAAAATAATAGTCATATCACATTTACAGTAAATTTTAATTTCATCCAAGTTAAGAAACAAGCTAGGGAAGAAATTTTACAATCAACTCATGGGAAATGTTGTAGACTGTTAATTTTACCTACTAAAATTTAATTCATGTCTTCATGGGACAGATTTTGTCAAAAAAAGGTTAGCTTTACAACTATATGAGACACAAAAAAGTTCAATACAGAACTAAAATATAATTCAAAAGGATTGCAGTGTTTCACTGAATTAACTCAGCATCATCAAGCAGAAAGGATGCTGAAATATGCAAAGCACAAATATACTGGTAACATAGGGTGCATCACAAAAAAAAGTCAGTAATATCAAAATAAATTAAGACTCATTTCATTCTATTTAATACTGCAGTCTGTATAAAATTTAATGAAAAATGTTTTTTTCAATTCATTTCAACTGACATTTCTTTCCTTTACTTCAAACACACACGTTAAAATAATATAAATTGTGGCCAGTGGTTATCATTATGTTCAAAGAAGTTTGAAGGATAGTTATGTTCATTACTGTTGGTAGACAGATTTTTACAGTTTCTCCAATAAAAACATTTCCTAAAATCATGATATAATTTTCTAGATCTTTTACATCTTTTTAATACAGTCCCTAGTAGCAAAACAGATTATTAATTATTACTTTTGGATTCACAGACAGAGGATTACATCAAGATGTTTTAAAATATTTTCTCCAAACTGAGCTAACAATATACACAATCAGTAAACAAACATGGCCCTGAATTACCTTATTCAAACACTGCACAACGTGGGCCATGTCTATCCAGGGCCTGCCATCTTCTGTCACCTGGTGGAACAGATAATCTCTAAACAGCTTCAACAGGTAACAATCTCCAGTCTCAGCCCATGAAGGATCCATGTGATACCTATTGAAGATCATCAGTCAATACTGTGCTTTTAACATGTAAAGTCATAGAACTGATGCAAAAAGTTAACATTTTCCTAATCTGAAATCTCGCACATTTGCCTATGAGACTTTTATACCACTCGCGTTGAGCTAACTGCCATCTAAATTCATGTGTTTTACATGAACTGTACTGGTGCATGATGACATCATGTGACAAAAGCCCTAAACCAATAGGACAGTGACACAACCTCCATGTGCAGTAGCTCCCCTTATGCACTTGCATTCATGATAACTTCATTCTCAGATGAGGCAAGGAAAAGAAAAAAATGTGCACCAGAAGTGGGGAGGTCAGGTGAAAATGTGTGTGGAAATTAATTTCTATTGTAAATGCGTTTTCAGATTAAAAAAAAGTTGACTTCCTAGATGATAACTCACTTCCTCACACAGAAATGCAGGGTCCCATGTCGAAGTGATGGAGAGGCCAGTGCAAAAATGTACCTACATGAGTTTCCTTTAGAAATATCCAATGGGTAGCCCATGGAGTGTGACACTTGTGGAAGACTGCACCTTGTCTCAACCAGAGCATACTTTTTTCCCGAGATGAAATGGAGGGAAAGGTGAAAGAACCAGAAATGTTGTAGGGACGAGCAGAATGTGATCATGACCAACCGAGCACCCGCACTCAAGTGGTTGGTGAACCAACATGTTTAGTGTGTTCAGGGTGTGATTAGATTGTATGATGTATGCTCACCTCTATTCTGCTGGACATACTCTGACTATAAGAGAAGGGCACAGTAGTTATTTGAGGGGTGACCTATACTACATTGATAGTGTTACCATTGCCCTACTTCTCAATGTATTGTGCTAAGTCCAATTGGTAAGGAATCTCCACGGTCCATTGCCCTAGTGGCTAGGAACTGGTAAGTGGATTGTGCATGTCTCCCAATGAAACTGTAATATGCCTGGAGGGCACTGTGGTAAAGAACAAGAATGGAAAGTAAAACATTAAAAACTAACTATATGTGAAAAGGAAAAGACTTGAAATTACGAATATAAGTAAAACATCTGTAAAGATATTCTACAAAAAATTAAAAGGTATGCATTTTTTTTATTTCCTAATTATAAAAATTTCATTGCATTATTCATCGATAATAATAGCTAGAGTTAGTGATATGGTAAAGAAAATGAAAAATAAAATATATAAATATTTACCTTAAAAAACTTTGATATTAATTTAGGATGTTCTTGAGGTTATGCAAATGAAATATGAAAAATATAAGATCAAGAAAAGTATTTATATACTTAAAATGAAAAGCACCTTGCGCTCAAACTATTTTAACAGTCTGAGTGCAAACTACTACTATAGATAAATAACATTTTATTTGAAAAATATAATTAGCATAATTTGTGTAAGAAATATTAT